ACTTGTTGGTTCCTCTGCTTGTAAAGCTCTTCTCCTGGATCTCTGCAGAGCTGCCTTCTTCATTTCTAGCTTCCAAGACGCTGAGTGGTCTCTGATCTCCTAACCTAAACCACATTTTCTTTCTGCTTTATTCTATGAATTGTCACTTGGTGGCCTTTTACCTTGCTTATTTTTTTTTCATAACACTTATCAGTATCAGAAATTATCTGATATATTTATGCATGTGCTCATGTTTGTTTGATTGGTTGATTTAGACTAGAAACTCCACAAATGCCAGAACTTTGTCTTGTTCATTGTTGAATCCCCAACACCTACATGGTACTAGTACAGAGCAAGCATTAAATAGATATTTGTTAAATAAATGATGCTAAATGGTAAAAACAATTATACTAGCTACAATGATTGTTTTTATAGAATTCCTGAATTTTCAATCTGCTAGATAATAACTTAAAAGTTTGTTCAAAGGAAATTGGTCTCATGTTTCGAATGCCCATATTGCCGGGAAGGTGGCTACAAACATAATATCTGGGCTGCACTCTGTGCTCTGGCATTATTTCTCTGAGTGTCAGTAGTATCTTCCTTCTGGCAAAGCCTCCCGCACGGAAGGGGAACAGTCCAGCACTTCTATTAGCTAAGTACGTAAACAAGCAGGCACTGCCTCTGCTTGTTATCTGCTTGAATAAAATGCTTCCAGTAACCACACCAAGGGAGGATCATTCTCAGTTCCAACTGAGCTAAGTTCTCCAGGAAAGTGATTCTTGACCAATGGCTCAGAGAAATTCTTTGGAGGAAAAAGCGATCAGCAGTGTTAATCTCTCTTTACACAACTGGGCAGGATGAGTAATATTTCTCATAGAAGGAAAAATAAAAGTGGAAGTTGTGCTATTCTCAGTTTTTGAGAAAAATCTAGTTAATTTAGGAGAGATGATTTATCATATAATGATTGGACCTAAGGAGAGAGGCATTTATTTGGTTTACCAGAAAACACAATGCCTAGGAAAGTCATTTAAATGCTGCAACATAGTGTGACCAAAAGCAATCCAACTGCTTGGGTTCAAATCTCAGCACACCATTCATTCCTGTGTGACCTTGAGCAACCTCTCCAAGCTGATACTTGATTTCCTCATCTGTAAAAGAAGAATGACACTTGCTCTGGCTCCGGAGGGTTGTCGTGAGATCTGAGTAGGACAAATCCTATAATGTGCTTGTCTTAGCCCCTGACACATGGTAGATGTTTCTCATTGTTAGTATTGAAGTCAGCCATATTCATTTTCAACAACTTCCTCCTCTTCATCCTTTCTCTTATTTTTTTCCTACTTACGAGATGCCTCCCTCAACCCATCATACAGACCAGCTTCCTAAGGCTAATTTCTGTATCTCCTTTCCTGCCCCTCCTCCTATCTAAACTCACTCTCAGATTAAGGCTCTAACATTACTTATGTCTCTGTGTGTTTTTCAGTTTTTTGGTTACCTCTTTCAGGGATGATAATCTCTTCATTGTGTAAGAAGGTTTTTTTCTCCCAGGAAAAAAATCAATCTCAGTGTCCAGGAGCAGATAAAAGTAATGTTTCTCTTCCCATATTGAGTGCTTTCTCTCTTGCTTTTTTACCTCCCACTTGTCCAATTTAAGTCCCACCTCATCCAAAAAGCCTTCTCAACCTTTCTTGTCTCTACTGGCAGCAGCAATATGTGGCCTTCTGATGCCACTGAACTTTGACCACATAGGCCTGCTATCCATTCTGGACATTCAGCCAACATGGCTTCTGTATCTTTCTTTTCTGCTTTCACAGGGAAAGGCAGCTGTTCTCATGAGCAGGGGCATGATGTCTCTCCTTTTACAGTCCTAAAGACCCCCAACTAGGCAAAGTAAAGAAAGAGCAGTGGTAAACATTTTTTTATCAGTTCTTCCTTTAAAACCTCCTGGTCTTCATGTCTGAGCTGTGAGTTCCCAAGGGTAAGATGAGCTAAACTTGGCTTGCAAAAGGATGAGGAATGTTTCTGCTAAAGTTCTTAAGGGTCTCCAGAGAAGACCAGACTGCAGTTGAATAGTCATCTCAAGGATTCTTGGAAAGGACCCTTCCCTTTCCAAGATTGATGCTCCCTGCTCCCAGGAACACCATGATAGAAAACCCTACACTGAGCACTGGGAGCCTTGGGGTCTAACCCTGGCTCTCACAGTGACCAGTTGTGTGACTCAGAACATCTCTCCCCCATTCTGGGCTTCAGTTTCATCTATCATAAAATGTATAACTTGAATTCAATATTCTCACACTCTAGGAAGGAGAATTGGATCATTCTTTATGGATTCATTCCAAAATTTATCATATTTTTCAAGGAACAGGACTCATATTTATAATTTTCTGGACTTCTCACAAATTCTTTAGCATTCTTTTCCACCGTGAACATGGAACTCGTTTCACGCTCGAGGGCTTGCTGTAGTGACTGCCTTATTGCCACGCTTTGGTGTCTTTGATTTAAGAACTTATTTTTTAAATGTATACTCACTAAGCAAAATTTCTAAAAGCTTTGTTGTAAATCTTCCTTTCTTTTACTTTAGTTAAGAAAGTGATTTGATTTTCCAAAATCACATCTTATCTGTCTGTATATGACAAGGTGGATATCTCTCTGCATATTGAAACGAATATGTAGAGAACAGAAAAGGAACATGTGAGCACAAGCATCACCTTGTTGGGCTTACCACCAGTCTTTGGAGAAGCCATCTACTGGCCAGGCTACTCAGTTCAATGAATCAGCCACTAACTTGACCAAAGTGTGGTATCATAGGTCATCTCTTGGTTCACTTTGCATGTGCGGATATTAAGCCTGTTCAAAGGTTCAGCCTTAGCTTATGTAACAGATGTAAACAGGTCTTCAGATTTCCAGTCTTGGCACTTAGATGCTAAAAAGTATTAATGATTTTACCAGAGCAGACTTATAGGAAGAAGATGTAAATAAGTTAAACCTCTTTAGGATGGAGAGGAGAAGTTCATAGGCAATATGAGCGTGAGTTAGCACTGTTCTCACAATGTGTATGATCACAGAATAGCATTTATTCAGTGTTTACTCAAAGAACCATCACACTATAACTAGGAAAAGAATGGGGGGGGTGGAAATTACAAAAACACTATAGTGAATGATTATATATGTACATTTTTTTTCACTTGACATCAACACAATTTCATGCACTATAAAATCACAAGCAGACATAATATCTAGGCATATTACAGATAAAAGAGTGAAAATTGATACACGTTAGGCCAAAAAGCAAAAACAGGTTTGGTTGTCACATATCAAAAGCTCCTATTTAATACAGCCAACTGTTGTTTAGCATTCCTAATGAAAAAGGTGAACACAGTGGCAATAAATTATATCATTTTATTATTTTTTAGTCTAAAAACTAACTTTCCCTGTTTTACAATGCAATATATGATTTTATTAAAAGTAAGAATTGCCTTCCAAGGCATGTTGGATTTAGGCTAGCATTTTAATTAGTTTTTATTCTTTGAGAGTATTCTGATTAAACTGTAGGGTAAATATACTGAATAATAAATAGGAAAAAAATAGGTTTTTGAAATGTATCTTCCAGGGTAATAAGATAACTTTAAAAAAATTAACTTTGCTGCTCAAAATACTTAACTATATTTGGAAGGGGAAATGCCACAGAGGTGTCACTTAAATAGCATTATAAAGGTGCTGCTCTAGAATTATTTAAGAAAAGGACAAGTCAACTCTATAGCTGTACACACACTTGAGAATAAAAACAGATTGAGAAACAAATACCTCTTTGCCCAGATTCATGCTGGGTGGGAACAAGCATAGGAAGATGGTCAATACTTCCATGATTACAAAGATGCTTTGATTTGTGATGCTCTGAGCTCATCTTCTGACTAGAGACTGATCTACCATTTCCTTTCACACTTCTGCCACCAAATTTCACCACTTTTTTGTACCAACTTGTTTTTAAGAACATAATGCATGTAGCACTGCTAAGAGATATAAGGAAATAATTTACATAAACAATAATGAAAGGGGAAAATAGTGAAGTTTATAGATTACAGAAGCCAAGGTAAGTTTTTCCTTGTCCAGGCACACTACACAGTTATTAGTCCATTCTTTTGATTACTTGTGTGGTTGAAAGAGTTTTTCCACATATTATATCATTGGCTTGTCACAATCAGCTCATTGGTAGACACCGCAGGTATTATCATCCCTTCCAAAAAGCTTTACCTAGGGTCACACAGGTGATGAAACCTGGAAGGCTGAATCAGATCTTCTGGTTCCAAAATTCCAAATTCCAAAATTCAAAACACCAAACAAAAGAGGTAATTAGAAAGTGTGACAAGCTCTCAATAAGCCTATGGAGTCATCCACTGTTGCCTCTCATCACTCATTTGTATGTCCTTTTCTTTCCTGGGTGCCCAGAGTTCTACCACTGACCTTCATCGCCTGCCACTGGATGGCATGACTTCATTCACACTGAGGGGTGAAAATGTGATGGGTTATCCCTCCTAAAAGTACCTCCATTTTAAAGGAGAAAAAAGTTTTAATCCAAAGGAATAATGAGTATGATGGGATTCAGGCACCAGTGACAAAGACATCTTGCCCTCAAATCATACCAATGAGGGTGAAAGCTGGTGGGAATGGAAAAATGGCTGATAGCCACATCCATGAGGTATTGTAGCCACTTTCAAAGATTCTATGCTTCACAAGCTGGAAACATGAGATAGAAGAGAGGGACTTAAGGAGAAGTCTAATAGGTCCAAGCCAGGATATCTGAGAGGTGGAAACATATCACCCTTCGACCCAGAGAACCTGAGCCCCTTCCTTGCGCTCCATAGTTTCAGAGGCCCTCTACTTGCTCCCCTCCCTATGGGGTGAGAAAACCACTGAGCCAAGGGGACACACCCATCCTGACCCATCCTGAGCCCCTCTTAACTTGTTCCAGGTGCCCCAAACCCCTTATTTCCCATCCAAATGGATTCCAGGGTCTACGTGGCGTCTTCTCCAGGTCCCTCCTCCAGACGATGAGCCTCACCTGAGTGGGGAGTGGGGATGGTGCAACGTGGAAGAAGAGGGTTCGGACAAAACTTGGCCATGCATACTCGAGTGTCCATGTGCATGCATGTAAGGCTCTTCACAGTGAGAGTCAAGAGCAGGGAAGAGGAGTGTCGAAGAAAAAATCAAGAGCCAGTTTTGCGTCCTGCCTCCAACCCCACAAATGTTAGGAGTGAACTCGAGCCTAAGAACAATTTTAGAAATTGGCTACATCAGTGTCTGATGAGTAGCTGAAATGGCCAAGAGGGACCCTCACCCTACAAACACATTTGCAACAGTCCTGGTACCCACTTGGGTTCCCTTCTGGAATCTCTTTTTTCCAGGCTGTCTGTACTCCAACATTTTTCTTGATTTAATCCCTATTTTCTTTTTTGACACTTAAATATTGTCCACATATATAGGTTTCACCAATGCTCACTCTTTGCACAAATTAGAAATTCAATGAGTGTCAGTCACTGGTGACGGTGTCTAATCACACCAGTTTTAGAAAATCTCAGCTCCTTGTTCACAGTGTTCACACAGTTATCCATTTACTCTGCCTTCTCCAGAAAACCGACAGTTCCCGGGTGATAACATTTATCTAAACACACTGATTTCTGTCCCAAAGGTTCTGTCTGTGTTTAAACTTTGAAAGGTCCATAGGATTATTTTAGTCTGATGCAGTCCACCTCTTCAGTGGCAGGCACTCCCGTGGTTTTGAGATCAAGGTCCGCGCTGGACTTACTCCCATTGTGAGAAGACTTCCAGTGGAGCAGCATGATCCTCTTGAAGTACTTGATGGTGTTGTTCTTGACGGTCACGAAGCACAGGGTGTTGATCATGCTATTGCTCATGGCGATGCACTCCACGATGTAGAAGGCCGTCAGGTAGTGCTTCTCCTTCACGAACACGCTGGGGAAGAAGTCGCGCACGATGGTGAAGCCATAGAAGGGCGCCCAGCACAGCACGTAGGCAGTGAGGACGCACATGAGCACCAGGACCGTCTTCCGGCGGCAGCGCAGCCGCTTCCGGATCTGCTCTGTCTGGAAACCGGGGACCGCCTTGAACCAGAGCTCCCGGGAGATCCTGGCGTAGCACAGGGTCATGGTGACCACAGGGCCCACAAACTCGATGCCGAAGATGAAGAGGAAGTAGGACTTGTAGTAGAGCTGCTGGTCCACTGGCCATATCTGGCCGCAGAAGATCTTCTCCTGGCTCTTGACAATGATGAGGACTGTTTCAGTTGTGAAGTAGGCTGAAGGGATGGCGATGAGGGTGGACACCACCCACACCAAGGCAATCAAGCCAGTGGCTGTTTGGTACTTCATCCGGGGTCTCAGCGGGTGGACAATGGCCAGATATCTAGGACGAACACAAATGGGTCAACCACTGTGATAAGGAAGTGCTAGATGATGATAGATAGTATTTTTGCTCAAAATGGTGTGTGTGGAGGAAAAACACAATGGCATATGGGCTTTCAAGCAAGTCAGACTTGAATGCAAACCCCTTACTAGCTGTTGCAACCTCAGGCAAGTTTTATTTAGTCTCTGAATCTCGGTTTTCTTATCTGCAAAAGTTTTTGTTTGTTTCTAGGATTAAGTATGCTAATGTCTACACCATTCCTGACAGTTTTAAACATGGTATATACTCAGTAAATGGTAATTATTATTATTAAATGGAGTAATAATGCCTCCCATCAGTTTCCACCATGGCACCATTCCCAGGTCTTTCCTGTTTTCAGGGCCATTCATCTTAATTACCCCCACAGTTTAAGGCTAAGAAAGCCTGATAATTCCAAAGACTTGTTGGGAGAACTTGCCCTTTCCAGTAGAAGCAGTGGGCAAAGTTTTGTCTTCATTCCACCTTTTTAAAAACATTGCTCTGCATGCAAAGGGGGATGAAAAATATGTGAACATTTATTTTCTTTTCCAGGCAGAAAAATAGAGGCCAAGTGAGAGATGAGTGACTTTCTCAAGGTCATATACCATAAGATTCTTCATAGAAAACATTTAACCCTATCTCACTAGGTTGATGTGAAAATCAGTTGAGAATATACACGAATGTATTTTTTTAACCACAAAGCACCAGATAGCTGTTGTTCTCTCCAAAAAAAACCATGCTCCTGTTACCACAGTGGTCCAGGAATGAAGAGAGAGCACTTTCTGGGGGATGTGAGTCATTCCTGCGGTATGAAACCTCCTTCCCAAAGAGAGTGCACATACTTATACAGACAGCTCTGGTTTCCTGGAAGACTTTTCGTGTCTGGCAGGGGTTGGAAGTTGGAGAAAGAGAAAGATAGGAAGTGAAGTAGGAGAGAATGACTAATCAACAATGGAAATAAACACATTCTCAGGTGCCCACAGCTTATCCCAGGTAGAGCCAAGAGCAAATGTGACAGGGGCCTGAAGGAAAGCCAAGCCAATTCTATTTCCTTTGAAATCAATCCTTTAATGTCATCTTTCTTGGGCTTTTGATTGGAAGAGGAGGTTCATCCTTATTTGTTTTCTTCCGATTATATAGCTGAGAGAGGAGAAATAACCACCCTCCTCCCAAACTCATCACTTGTAGCTGGCTCCATCAAGTGTCATTTGGCGAGTTAACTGGAATGAAACTCCTGCTGTGTTCTAGCTCCCAGATGTTAGATGAAGTTGGATTGGTTGGGTCCACCCTCTGGATACCAAGATGGCTGCTCAACACGCTCTGCCATCAGCAATAATCCCTGGCACTCTCACCAATCTCCTGAGTGCTGAAGGGTGGAATGGCAGTGTCTGCAGGACGCTGGCAGTGCTTTTGTCAATGTACATGTATGGGCCCTTCACAAAGACCATGGTGTTCCTGCCACAATGAGTGCACCAAATGTACTCTGACTCATAACAAAAACTAAGAATCTAGTGCTTTTTGCTCTCACTAACTCTCTCCCTCTCTATCTACCCCACCACGTTCTGTTGATTACTCTGTCAAAGAATATTTCTACAGTCATACTTGTTTAGTATATTAATTTTCACTATATAATTCTATTCCTTCTTTTCCCAATAATAACTTCCTAAACCTTTATGATGTTTCAAAGTCAAAGTGTTTTTTCAACGAACAAGTAATAGAGAATGCCGATCTAGGAGTCAGAAGACCAAGAATCTAATCTTAGCTTTGCCACGAAACTGTTATATGAATTTGAGTAATTTTCTTAGCATTGTGGGCTCACTTTCCCCACCTGTAACATGGGAATATCACTCGTCTTACCAACTTCACAGAGATACTGTGAGGCTCCAATCAGAAACTGCATATAAACAATAGGCCCTTAACTCACAAGAAACTACTAGCATTCTAAATTTTTTTTTTCAGAGCTATTCTGTATACATATCCATTTTCTTTCACCTTTTACTGCGTTTGCAAGTACTCTATAACTTTCTATTTTATTAGATCTATTTATCTTCACATCAAAACTAATCTTCAGGGTCATCTGGGACTACCCATCAGATAGTTATTTTATCCTGGCTTTCTCTGACATCACCCTAACTCATCCCCAAGGTTAGCGCCAGAAGCTATGCAAAAGGCCTTCCCAATACATTTACCAATAAGCAAATTTCAGAAATTTTTTTAAGGCTCTCCACCAACTTTGGCTATGCTAGGATTAGAACTCTAAAACTCTAGTATTAGTACTACTGGCTTATGTTTGTAAAATAGTTTACAATTTACAAAACATTTTCAAATCCACATTCTCATTAGATAATCTCAACTCTACTGAATACGTAAGAGAGAAGAGATGCCCGTTTTACAGATGAGCAGACTGAGGTCTGGAAAAATTAAATAATCTGCCAAAACCACATAGTTGGAAACTGACAGAGCCATGATGCACATCCATACATATCTTGCTCCCAATCCAGTAGGCTCTCAAATATGCCATTTGTCTTCTCCCTTTCCAACCAGAGCAAGCAATACCCCTTCCTCCTACGCTCCTGGCACCCTAGTTGTCCTTCTCATCTATTCTCTCCATGACGGTTGGTTCCTACTTATTGATGTTCCAAAAACAAGTCAGGCAATTGGCAGATACTTTTCTCTGCTTATGAATATGCCCTTGGCTTGCCCTGTGTGTCTACCACTACAATGGCTCAGGTCCAGAACCACTTTGAGCCAACATTTTCCAGAGAACAAAGAATAAAGGCTGCTAGACAAAGAAATGTCCAGGCAGTAATTGTGTGATGATAGCAGTCTGAGTGATTAAACAAAAATCATTTGAGCTTCCTCTCTGTCCTCAGGACCCAGCCCCAATTCAAACCATGGAAGTGGCAGTTGCAGTAGCTACTAGGCCAGTCATGGGATGGGCGGGGATTTCATGACCCGCTCCTTGGGCCAGCCAGCTCCGACTGACGAGCTCACTGGAAAGCATTTTTGTTACCTAGGGCTGAGCATGGTTACTCGTGCCTTTGCTGGCCTCATTTGAGCAGACAGGCTGACCAGTTTCCCCTGGATTCTGAATAAAAAAGCATGAGGGGCCCCAGTGCCCCACATGCTCTGGGATCTGAAGGATACACCTCAAGGACAGTGTAGATGTCTCCATATCAAAGAGGAAACCCCAATCTGGGGGTACGGGGTCCTTTTATGATCTTTTTCAGTTCCCTGCTGCCATCAGGTCTGAATCCCTGTGCCTCGATTTTGAGATCTTCTGGAATATGGCCCTATCCTTTCTGATCTCTACCCTCAAATGTTCCTTGCTTCTGTCCCACATACTTCCCCAAGAGACCTCATACCTCAAGCATTCCCACCTGTAAACCTTGGCAAACACTGTTCTACCCTCTTGGAAAACCTTCCCTTTACTTTGCCGATTGTAATGTGTTGAAGGCCAGTTAAAAACCTCCCTCCTCTGTAAAGCCTCCTTTGACTACTCAGGTACACAATTATCTCACCTTTCTCTTTAAATTTCATTTAAAATGTATTCTTTATCTTCTAATTGTTTCATAGTGTTAGCTCTCACCCATCCACCCCACCCCACTTAGATGTAAGCTCCTTAGAGCAAGGATTATTATGTTTTACTTCTTTTACAACCTTTTGCTGTCTGTGAATTCTGGGCACCTAGGATTTTAGTGAAACTTCACTGTCAGCAGTGCCTGCCACTGAACAAATAGAAATGTAGCCAGCCATAGTGACAGTTTTCAAAAAGATTGCAACCTTTTTTGGAAAACAGGACATAAAATGGGTTTACCCAGCATGAGACTGGGAGGCAGGCTGGGGCTCAATAATAAAAGGTTGCAAGAGGAGGCGAAGGGGTTTGAGCCGTATTTTATACACAATGGAGTTATTAGAAGTCTTTTGAGCCAGAGAGAGGGGACATGTACAAGACAGAAGATTAAGTGGGCTGCAGTCTTGCTTTCTTCCCTCAGGTGACAGGGGCCTTCTTTCTGTTCCTAGAACCCATCAGATCTGTTCCTGTCTCAGGGCCTCTGTACTTATAATTTCCTTTGTCCAGAATGCTTTTTCTCAATTTTCAGGAGGCTGGCTTTTTTTTTTTTTTCTTTTTTTCTTTTTCATCATTCAGAGGTAGGTTCAAATGCCTTCTCCTCAAAGGCACTTTTCCTGACTCTACACCTAAAATAGCTTCCACCTTGCCACACTCAAGGTTTTTGTGTTTGTTTGTTTGTTTTTATTTTGTTCAGAGCATTTCTCATGCTCTAAAATCACTTTCCTTGTTTGTTTGCCTATTAACTCTCTCCATCCATGTATGTGAGCTCCATGAGGGCAAGGAGCTTTTTTTCTTATTCACCATCATATCCCCAGTGCTTGGAATAGTATCTGTCACATCGCAGTCACTCTACAAAAATGCATTGTCTGAATATATGAATGAATGAATGTTTAGCGTGGATCGTGAGGGAAGGAGGGTTGGCAGAGAGCAGACCAAGAGACACCGAAGGCAGGAAGATCAAAAGGAGACTATGATAGTCCAGCCCTGAGTGAACAGGTGGGAGGGAGGGGTGAGTATTGGCAGGACCTGAAAATGGAACGAATGCTGGAGAAAAGGTGAGAATGTCTAGGCCAGAGGAGACTTGCTAGTTTAGATCCTTGGGAGAACCGTGGAGCCAATAAGAGAAACAGAGTAGTCTAGGCAGGTAGAAGATAAATAGTTCTGTTCTGCTCTATCTTGATAGCTGGTTTTCTAAAAAACCTTATATTATTATTTTGTAAATCACATCATAAAAACAATCACTTCGATGACAACAAATAGGTTAGCCAATCAGAAATATTCATTTATCTGTTTTGTTGTTGTTGTTGTTATTCCTTTAATTCAAGAATTACAATATTATGATTTATGTTTACTCTGTTTTATGCATTGTTCTAAACAATTACCTATATTGTTTAATTTAATCCTCAAAGCAACCCAGTACATTAGGTTTTCTTATGACTCCCATTTTAAACATGAGAAAACTGATGGAGAGAGTGATCAAATAACTAACACAAGGCCCTACAGCTAATAGGTGGTACAACAGGTATTTAAAACCCAGTAGAATAACCACTAACATTATTCCTACGAAAAATTTATAAAAAAATTAAAGTTACTTTTATAACTGTAGGTATATTTGGTATATCAAGATAAAAATTAGTTGCCCAAAATTAACTGAATCAAACCTGCAAACCAGTGATCAAATCCTGAACGAAACATGAGACTAGATAGGAATTTGAAACTAGATGGTCAAAACACAAAAATAAAAACAATTTGAAGGAAAGACCACAAACATCAGTAAAGGAACTTAATGCATTGGAGGAGCTGGTTAGTTGGCCACGGCCTCAGGACAGCCCTGTGCAGGCAACAGTGCTTTCCCCTGAAGTCTGGGTGCAAGTTTCCTCTCACGGCCCCACTCTAAATAATAGCAGGCTCCATGATGTAGAGCAAGTTCTTCAATTAATCTTTCTTATTATATCTAAATCGCATTATCTAAACTCAGGCTGAAAGAGAAATGCCTGCAGTATTTTAGACAAGCAGAGTTTGGTATGAAAGTAGGATCTGAACTTAAAGGAAGTTCAGGAGATTGAGGGGAATTGATTGACATAGATCTTATCTCTTATATGTTCAAAGTAACCCAGTGCCCATTAACTTACTTTGGCTTCCCTCCTCCTGAAGCCACTTCCTATGACAGCGTTACCCCTTTCAACAAGTGGACCCCAACATGGTGAAATGGATCTCACCCAGAGGGCAGGGGCCCACCCCACAACAGGCACCTACCTAACCCACTTTCAGTGGCTGAGAGCACCCCTGTGGAAAGATGTCCTGCTGGAGTGAAACTTCAGGAAATGACCCGATGTGCTCTGTCTGCTGGTGCGCTGAGAGAGATGATGGCAGCTTCTTCTTTTAGAAAAAGTCAGAACTAAGGTCCCTAGAGCTCTTCCTTGACAACTGTGAAGGAGACTTAAGGGCCAGATACCCTGCTTGACTGTCCCTCTTCTGCTTCTTCTGTAGGTCCACTCAAGGTCTGTGCCTGGATGGACAAAATACTGTGTGGCTCCGTGACTCAAGGGGAAGACCTTGGCCAAGGAGAAGTAGCCCTCTGCAGGGATGACACCTCTAAGCACTTTCTACGGGTGACAGACCAAGGGTTTTTTAGCTGCTAATTCCCTGACATCCTTCCCTGGAGAAAAGAGGCCAAGGCTTCGCCCTTCAGCGGTTTTAAAGCCAGGTTCCTTCTCAACCCCTTTTTCTCAAGTTTGGGCTGATTCCAGGTTATCCTGCCTATGACTCCAGAAAACAGGCCCCATTTATTGTGCTCATCCCCAGAACATTGTCCTGGGGTGTCCTGACTGTGAGGGGCAGGATCAAACTCCACCAGAGCCCTAAGGCCATGGAACAGGGAGCACATCTGTGCTTCAGGCTCTCTGGGTTAAGGGAGAGGGACGGGCTGTTCACATCCAAGTACACAGAGGCCTGATTTGACCCTCAAGGTAACTACTTTACATCTGCAAAGATTGTCCCAAGGGAACAAAAACCATCTTGGCTCATTAGCACAAGAAATTATACTCATTTAAATGAAAAGACTAAACATAACATCAGAAAGATTTGCATTGGCTGCTCTTATTGGTTTTATTTACCATCACTAGAAACAAGTCTTCTGCACTGTTGCACACAAATGTATAAAAGGGAGCAAACTGATTAATGCAACAACTAAAAGAGTAAGTAAGCTTATGTTCCTTTTTGTTGTTGTTTCAAAACAAATCGTTCAATCTTATTTTAAAATCAATTCATGCTAGAGGGGTCATGTTTTAGTAGAGGAAGTCTTGATGAGACAGAAATCTCTCTCAGGATATTGAAGTTGATTCAAGAGGTACCTGTCTAGAACTTACTCTTGTCCCTCCACAGTGTCTCTTACCTGTCTACCTATAGACCTTGAACAGATACAACATCTAGAAGCATGTTTATAGCAAAGGGGTATCAAAAGCCCTCCTACTGCCCAACTCAATGGGGCTCTGCCATCTTCTGCCTGCCAGCTGGAAATCTAGAACTCTCCTCACTGTTCAGTCGGTGGGCCAACTTTTAAGCCTTTGTGCATCCACATCTTTGAGCAGTACAGATATCTCTCATTCATCACAACTGCAATTAACAATTCCAATGTCCCCTCACTCACCTGTCAATGGCAATGGCCAGCAGGGCATTGGTGGAGACGTAGAGAGAGACAGTGCGCAGGTAGTTGACAGAGGCGCACAGGACGTGGCCATGCTTCCAGGAGAGCTGGCGCACCACGTAGTAGTCCATTTCAAAGGGGCAGCAGACAATGGCCACCAGGAAATCAGAGATGGCCAGGTTGGCAATGAACAAGTTGGTGAGGTTGCGCAGCTTCTTGTAGCGGGCCAGGGCGACAATGAAGATGAAGTTGCCAACGCCACAGACCAGCATGATGCCCACCAGGGCCATGCCAATGACAATCTTGGCGGCAAAGAAAGTTCGAGAATTGGTCACGTCCTCATCTTCATCCAAGGGCATGTCATAGTCACCATAGCTGAAGTTGAATGGGAAGGAAGCAGCTTGAGCTCCATGGGTGTCAAGCACAGAAAAGAAGTTGGTGGAGATGTTGGTGGCGTTCTCATCCATGTCTCCTGTAATGACTTCCATCTGGCCAGGTGGTGGTGCCTTGAGCAACACTGCTGAGAATTCCTCTGGGGTGATGTGGAAGGCTGATGTCTTCTCTCTCTGCTGACACTCAGTTCTCCCTAAATGAGTCACAGTGTCCCTGCCAGCATCCTTCCTGTACAGCATCGGAGCTCCATCCTAAGCCTTTGAAAGACATACAAACAGTTGGCTGCATATGTGAGTGAGCATGGCCAAACTGAAAACCATTCTGTAACCCAAGCAGACCAATTAGCTACCTGCTCAGAGTGAACATTGGGGTGACGGAGTAGAAATAAAGGAACCAGTGAGAAAAAATAAATGAATAACAACCACTTACTCACTCATTCGGGGAAGTCTGAATTGTTATGGAGACAATCGGGCACTGAGGCAGTTTATTTTCATTCCACTGTAGGCTGTGAAATGTTGCACTTTTTCTCAGGGACCAAAGTCGGGAGTGTAGGGGGGCTTAAGATAACAAAAGGGACCTGCTCCAAACTCCATTCCCTGTCCTGACAGTCTGAACTTTGTCCTTGTGGAATTGTCCCATTCTGTGGCTTAAACAAAATGATTCTGAATACCATCGAAGAGGGAGGACTTTGAGACAATCCTGTCTGCTCTCCATGAGCTGATCTCCTTTCTTCTAGCAAAACGCTACTCTGAAATAGCAGAGCCTACCTAACAGCCACCTTCCCTTCTCCTCATTGGGCTTCCTGTTCCCACATCCAAGTCTACTGTGACCTTAGAAGTCAGGCACGTTTACCAAAGCCTGTTCTCAGGCAGAGGCTGAAGGGTTAAAGTCACAGCCTAATCACTGAATAGCTTAGAAAGGGAGGTCTGGAGCAAAATCTTTTCTTGGCTGGTTGTGTGTCCTAGAGTAAATAGCTTAAACACTCAAAGTTTCAACATCCTCCAGGCAAGAGATCAATAATGTCTGTAAAGCATGGAGCTCCCTGGAGAGGGAGGGTGTTTCACCCTAAAACTGCAAGGAATTACTACATCAAGCGTTCAGCCTCCTCAGTCAGCTGCAAAGGAGGGAAGGAAAATCCTGACACAGATGACTCCACCACATCACATACTGGGGCTGCGGTTGGGGGTAAGGGCTAGAGAGGAGAGGGGGATGTTGGCTGTACTGCTGGGGACCAAAACAACAACAACAACAACAACAAACAAACAAACAGCTGGGGACCAAACAACAACAACAACAACAAACAAACAAACAAACAAACAAACAAGAGGTTGCTGGAGTCCCTGTCCCTGCCCTCTTCCCACAGTACCAGTCCCTCCCAGGGCCTGAAAACCTCAGACCAGGTTGCTGGGATGTAAGAGGAAGGCTGTAGTCTGGACAGCACTGGAAATATCAGGAAAACCAGAGAGAGAAAACCTGAGGTGAGGTTCCTGGTAAAGGGAGACACAAGGAAGATCCCTAAGACCCCCGGGAAAGCCTGCTGCCCACCTTCCTCAAAGGCGAGACATCTGGACTTGACTTTGGGGGCTGGGGTTAAAGTCCCTCTGAACTCCAATGAGGTTCAGCTCCATTCTTGCCCCTCTCCCCAGCTTCTCGTCCCCACTTATCTTAGATTCATGTCCTTCCTCTTAGCCATCAGTTCTGCCCCTCTCAGGCCCTGTCCTTTGCCCCTTTCAGGTCTAAGCAGCAGAACCGAGATCTGAAAGGTCAGAGAGGGGGCAGGTTTGCAGCTCAGAAAGTGCAGCTGCAATTCCCAATCCGGGTGGGACAGTCCGCAGTCCTGTCAGGCCCTGTGTCTCAGATCATGCCACCTCCGCTACCTGGAAGGCTCAAAGTTGGGTGCTAAAAACAAAGAGTAATAGAAGCTTTTCGGTGCGGGAGGAAGAGATCTGAGATCTGGGGAGAAATTGTCCAGTGATCTTTTTCTCCTTCTCACCTCTCAAAGAGGAACCCCATTCCCATCCAGTGTTCTCTGGGGATCCCGCCGTTTAGCTCTTGCCCCTGGCCAGACCCTTCGGAATCCGGAAGCCTCTCTTTGCAGCCCCCGCTAATAAGTCTTCTCCTGCCCTCAACTTTGTCCTCGGAGCCTCGCCTCGAAGCCTACACCTAAGGGCGGAAGGAGCCTGAAGAAATGGGCTCCAGTGTGAATTCCTTGAAAAGCCCCCTCCGCATGCGAAAGCCCCTGCCTCCCAGCGGCTGCCGGCGCCGCGAGGCTCATCTGTCTGGAGCATCGATCGCCCCGGAGGGTGCGCTCAGTACCTGCCGCATCCCGGCGCCCAGCGGACCGGGTCCCGGTTTCTTTATTCTGGGCTCAGGGACACGAGCTTCTCCCATTGGGCCGCAGAAAGAGGACAGGTCCCTTCTTTCTTCCTCCTTTTCTCGGGGCTCCTTCCCTGCTCCAAAGGGAGTAGCGCTGGTGCCGCCGCGGTAGACCCGAGCGAGGGCGGCTCCGCGGCGAGGCCAGCCCCGGCCAGCGCCCG